TCGACAAACGAATCATCATCTCATCTCTTCATAGCATGTAGCTTGATTTCTGTAATACTTGCCATCATATACTTACTACTCTTGCAATGTTTAAATTTGGAGTATACGCAACAAATTTATGCTTGATTGAGAATCGAAACCAGAAACCCAGTCTAGAACAATTACCCGTACCAATAAACCAGATGTGGCGTTGAAGGTTCTACGTCATCAATTAGCATAATTTGGTATCTATAAATAAACTATGTATGACTTATTTATAGATACATAATTATACAAATTTATTTAAACACAATGTGCAGAATGTAAATCTTTTTTTATACAACTGGAAATGATAAGTGACTGTAAATCTTTTTGTGATGGAAAATAGAAACTAGTTTCATTATGTAACATTATATAACAATATATTATACTTTCATTAAGTACCTACTCATGACAATATTAATACGTTTTTGCTGTCACAATATAACAGGGGAGCAAAATGTATGAAATTGTAGTTGAAGACGCTTTTAATTTTTCGCTACAATATTGTAGCCATCCAACATGGATCGCAATTTACACAATAATAGTAAAATTACTCAAATTTAATATTATTTTGTGTGCAGAGAAAAAATATTTTCTTTAATTTTTTTTATGCAACTTAGAATATCAAATAAGCTGACGGCCCACCTGATAGAAAGAGGTAACCGTCGCCTATAGACATGAGCAATGCCATGGACATAACATACTCGTAATATACTGTTTAACTTCTATACTTGTATAAATTCCATTCAATATTTGATTTAATAAATCATATTTGACATAATATGGTAATATCATCATTATCATCATATTAGCTGTGAATTGTCCAATGCTGAACATAAGCCTTCCCCATAACAAGAGTTTTGTCAGTAATTGCCACGCTTGGCAAGCGGATTATAAATCGCAGTTAGATTTTTAGTACTGTTTTAAGAGGGACACTGCTGCTCATCTCTCTACCATTAAATTCCCATTTATACTGTAAATCTTAAGGAGATTTGTAATGTAAATCTTAAGGTATGATACCCCCAGAAAGTTTGTTTCTATTGTCTCCCCCAGTCCCCAGGCCACGGTTGTGATCTACGTTATCGGTATTTGTCAGATGACCAACTATAGATACGTACCACAATATAATCCTATAATCTGTGACGTCCGTCCGTGGTATTGTTTATGTCCCTAGACGACGGCTCAGGCGACGGGGCGTCGGTTACCACTTCCCATCCGTTATAAAAATAATATCAGTAATTATATCGACGTTATTGGATGCGGGATACCTAGCTACAATTAAAATCAACCCTTAATGATGTCAATAAACGAAATCGTCAATACGTGCCTGCGCATTCAAAAGATATTATAAAAGCATAGCCTTATGTTTGAACTAGGATATAAATGAAAAAAATAGTAATAACATTCCTACGTACCTTCTTATTGTTATGAAAATTTTCATACATATATACAATACAAATACAAAATTTCAAAAAATATAATTTAGCCACCATTTAACATGCTACATGGACTCCTTTCAACCTTTAAAGACGCCGTTAGAAGATTCATTAATTTTGCCTCTGTAGCAAATATTATTATATAGCTATTACCAATTCTCTAAATTATGTGCCCATGTCATTATTACTACCTCTTGCTAAGTTATATTTCATTATTTTTATAAATATCTTTGTATTCGTTGTTCCAAGCACAAACTTATTAATTAACTTGACGCTTCTTTATACATTGTAAGACCACTTGTCAGTATCATAACACAACACTAAGGACAGTAGAGGATAAAGTTACGAAAAATGAAAATGCTTCATATACAAAAATTGCTATATGGGTAACTCTGTGTCATTCGTGTTTTGCTGTGAAGCAATTATGCCTACATGACAAAATTTTGATGACAAAATGGCACTGAAATCATAATATATAATAGCGTCATGACAACTTAGTCCTTTTTTTCAATCTGCTTTAAAAGAAGGAGGTTCTCAGTTCGGTTGTATTTTTATGTTTGTTGTCTCCTAACTTTGTCTGTTTAAAAATTTGAATTTTTTCTGAAGGAATATACTTACAGATTGGTTCCATTGAAATTTATTCAAAAACGATATAGTAGTTTAGTTCTTAAATCGAAACAACTGGTTTTGTTACAATCGATTTTCTTTTGAGGGACACAATGTTTAGTTTAAAAAAAAATGGACTTAGGACCTTAGTCCTCAGAAATTAGAAAGCAACGCATGGCGTCACTATGTACTTTGTAAAATACAGAGTCTGCATCATAAACACTTAATGACTTCACCATAGACAGTCAATAGTGACGGCTACCACTTTCCTAAGTTACATAAAAAAGAAAATTATCCAGTAATCCCTATAGGTATTCGTCTAGCAGATGTCACGTATATGAAAACATTTCCATTTCTACGAATACTATCATTTCCACATAAAAGCACTATATTAAATTTCACAACAGCGTTGTCGTCTGCTGGATTATATAGCAGTACCATGAAGGCAATTATCAAAACCAAGCATCTTTCTTCTTTCTTAACAGACTTTTATATTAAGTTTTGACATTAATAAAATACGTATTTACATTAAGGACTATTATGTTTAACTTCACTATAGTAAAATGTGATGTAGCTTTCTTCTCACTTTGTAGAGTCCACAAATCAACTTAAGTCGATACGCTGTCTGGATTTTATTAGTTGTCCTCGAAGATTCCAATGTCGACAGAACGATTGACTACTGCGATGTCTCAAGAATTTGTCCGTGACATCTTTCGCTTATATTTCCGCGGAAAAATTTACACAAAACATTTGTAAGTTATTTAACTAAAGTACTTCTATAATAATATTATAAAAGAGAATACAATGTACACTTCCAAAAACCTGTACCTGTATTTATACAATTATGTTAGCCTCATATAAAGATTAAGGGACAATGTTAAGGATAATATACATAAGAGTGTCCAGATAAGATGACTATTATAGATCAATTAAAGACGAATCTTCGCCAATTTCGGATTCTGACTAAATCTAGGCACTGACCAGGCAATGATGACCGTCATATTATATTTTGCTTTTCGCCTTTGATATTTATCATTCATGGTAAAGATAGAAAAAATGGTATCAAAATACATAGCTAATAATTACTTCATGGTTTTATTAAATTGGTTGACCGTGTTTACCCTCTACAAAGGGAATCGTGAATTCAAATTCACACATTTTGGTTTTCACCGTATTCGAACATACGACCACCGACATCTTTTAAAACGAGTTAAAAAAATCTAGACTGCAACACTTTCTTAGCGACAGAATAACATATAATACGAATAAATTTATTTCAGGCAAAAAAAAAAACAATTTGTCTTTAATGAAAATATATAGGTAGACAATGTATTCAAGGAAGTACCTGATTACCTTCCCCGATGGTAGAATCTGATATCTTCCTCAACCCCCCTAGAAAAAGTAGAAACGAATCTATTTATAGAATTGTTATCGCTAGCGACTCTATGAGTTAGAATAAGATGGTGACGTACGCTATCTTGTTCTTTCCTATGCGAGCGCTGACCGAAACGTTTCTATTGATACATCGTTTATACCTTGTCCAGGGGGGTAATGTATGTACAAATTTGTCTGTCTAAGACCACAAACATTCACTACCCTATTACCAAATTTCACTGTTATCGTGGGCATATCAAGATAATGTTATGTCTACTCCATATTTTACTTTACAATACTGAGTCATATGCATTTTGCATCGTACGTTTTCTTGCAATATTTTTAAGGTCGTCGATAGATCTTACGAAGCGGCATTCGTACACTTCGCTTGCCTGTATGCGATTACCACTCTAGAGTTCATGAAACCAAACACACGTTTATCGATTCCTGGAACCAATTTCTTTAATAACTTTTACCATTCTTAATTACATTAGGCCTGTCGTGTCGTGATTGAATAGTCAATAGAAATAAGCTGTAATCAAATGCATTTTTTTTAAAACTGATAGTGACACACAGCGAAATTAATGCGTTCAAAAAATAAACCTTATAGCTTCATTATAATAGTATACACTTCACAAATATAATTTACAAGAAAATTCCCTTCGTCATCATAGTTGATACATCGTAGTAGATTACATAATGTTCCTTATAATAGTTTATGGGAGAGGGACCATAGGCCATGTTCAGCAGAAATTGCACTTGCTAAAAATCACTCTATGAATTGAATAATTTTTAGCAAGTGCGATTTCTGCCTAAATTCAGTGTACATTTTTGGTTTCGAGTTTTGACAAAAGTTGATATTCTAAGAATGTTTTTTTTTTTAAATCCTTCTATATTTCGGGAATATCGGCTTTTCTAGGGACTCGAATTTGAACGGTTGAAAGGTCCACCGAAGTTGGTCAAGGGTCGCACTTGCTGAAAATTACCCAAATGATGATGACTCCACGTCATATCATTTACTTCTAATAATATCATATTGTTGTTTTTTTGGACTTAATATGGAATATTTACAAGCAATTAAGAAACTGTTGTTGTAACAACTTTTATAAGACTTGAAATGCCAGACAAGCTGACAGTACACTTGATAAAAAATATTTTCGTCTAATGTAGACATCAATAACTCTAAAGTTACAAACTTTACAGAATAAAAATGTTGTGTATAACAAATGTTATAAGTAAGTATATTTGGCTACTATTTTTATTATATTTCTCTCATATTATACGTGTATAAGCAATCTTATAAATAACTTCGTATTTAATTATTTAGTAACTAGATGCTTAGGTGAGTTAACTTTCTTTTGAAAACTCTCTATGATTCTATCCTGTTAATTTTTAGAACGATTGATGTTTAACAAAAATAAAACCTCTCATTGATAATGTGCCTATATTTTTTTCACACCAACATACTAAAACTGTTTGTTTGATTTACGGAAAAATTAATACCGCCAAACTTTCAATGTTTACATTAGCTCACGAGATAAAAAGATGGTGTTTAATACTTACGTGTTACGGCAGCACAGTAGTTTGTTATCAAAGTAAACATTACAATATAAATTTATTTGTTTTAGGTTTTGATCGCGCGAAATTGTTTTTCATATTTGCGCGCGCAGCAACAACATCAGGTGGCGCCACGATCGCCCCGGGCGGCGTATCCTACACTACTGAGTATTGGTAGAACTAGACGCCTGTTGCTTACATTCGATACTTGAAACTATCTTTACGTATACTACTGCTTTATTGTCAAACTTACATAAAAGTCTAGTTTTATTGTTATTGTATTAAATAAGTATATATTGATAACCTGGATAGTGTAGCGGTTTAAGACTGCCTTATTTTCTGACAGTCACAGGTTCGATCCCATACAATAAAGACATTTGCAATCATGTCTGTTTACAATTAGTTTGAGTTTTTTCGATGTTTTAAAAAAGTATTTGGGTAAGTATATTAGCTGTCTAGTACCCGTAATAAAAGACCTGCTTAATTTGGAATTAGATAGCGTATTATGTCCAGTGTTATTTACTTCATTTATATGAATAGGTAGCTCCATTGTCTATCCGATGAAACTTAAACATACTTTCAGATAAATTGAATTTGATGGCTGGGGATACACGAAGGCAACTCGCAAGTACACAGCCTTAGAGTAACGAATACCTTTGTTATATTTGCATTTGAATAAGAGGGTTGTTGATTTGTTACCTTTGGTGCCTTGTTTTATAGGATAATATAATTTACTTCAACTCTATGTTGCGCTTTTTACCTTTTCTCGTATGTTTTCTATCTTAACGTTGTTTATTCTTGTTTTGAAGATATTGCTTAATGATAAGACTGCCTTTTTTCTTCACTAACTCAATGTTTAAAGTACAACAAAGTGATTAAACTAAATGAGAAAATAAAGTTTAATTCATTTTGTGTTTACCTTACCCTTTGTAATTAGGTATACATTTAAATCCTTACCAAACCTTACAAAACCTGTAAGTGAATATGTATATTTTTAATTGTTACGAAATACAGTATACACGTTCTATGTGGAGTGGAGATGCATGTAAGAGTTTTATCTCAATCATACAATATATATATATCCTCGTCACTCAGACGAAGTTACGATCGAATTAATATAAACATTATATTAATAACTTCACAATACATGCCAATTAAATTAACTCTTTAGACACCTTAGAGGGATTCCATCAAAAGCGGAAAGGTCATAGTAGAAGGGTATTATTAGTCTTCTATTACCATATTAGTTAGGCTACTGGTAAAGGTTATTGTTTCTGATTGTCGTTGCGAACGAATTACAGTTTTAAGTATGTCATTTCAAGTATGTAAGTATATAAGAGTATAATCTCTCTTCATATAATATAAATTAACATTAGATACCAATAATTTTGGAAATAGATAACTATCTACTTCCTCCTTATGAGACTTCATAAGCTTTAATGTTAATTCATTCATTGTTAACTGAAGGTAGCTCAGTTTCGTTTGAGTTTAGTACAAACTTTACTAATAAAAAATATAATAGTACATGAATTCAATAAAAATAGCCCCTATTTACTTATTCGGTACTGCACCAATTTTATATAATTAGGTTTATAAAATATTTAAATCTCAATAAAGTGGAAAAGAGATCAGAATTAAGTACATGCATTAAAATTAGTTTCATCCTTAATGATATTATATATTTGAAATTGAGCTTGTTTGTTACCTACTAGTGTCTTAATGATTTAATCGATAATTTAGTAACTTACAAGTTTTAAAATAATTCAGTCCCAACAGTATCATAACAGAAAAAATTGGCAAAAACAGGAACCTGAAAGAGTACCATTATTTCCAAATATTTACGACATTGACACCTTTAACCTGTTTTCTTGAAATAAAAGTATATTATTTCTAATAAGGTTGGCAATACACATGCAATTTCTCTGTTGTCGCAGGAATTTACGATTGGTGATAACACAGAATTATTAGGAAACAATCACCCACCAATCAAGTGACCCGCATGCTTTTTTTCACCCAATATTATGCTATAAGAAGAGTAGATTAGCGCTGAAACAACTTTTGTACTCGGAAAACAAAATCCTCCATTTAACACGTCTTTCATCTAACAACTTTGTACAAAAGCCGTTTGCCTAGGTACCATTATCCCATTCGTGTTTCTACCGTGAAACAGTTATGTTTACTTACATAGTTGTGTTTCGATTTAAAGGGCGAAATATGACAATAAATTTACAGGGTAGGTACAGAAACATAATACCTTAGTCCTCAGAAAAAGTATCATGGACGACATAGTACTCTGTTATGCCCATAGTACTGTTAATGTCTATAGGCGACGGTTACCACGCTTGTTTGCCATTGTAAGTTACATAAAAAAAGTTGACCCTGTTACATGTCAGTCTCTTGAACTTTAGACATGATAATATTATACAGTGTAGAAGGGACGGGTTGACCAAAATGAAAACAACTGATTCAGATGAATAGTCTGAATCAGATGGTTGATTATTTTCCCACCGCAAATGCACCACAGTTATATAATTGACGATTCTTCATTTTGACGCCGCACAATGTATTTGAAATTTTACGATCCACACGACGCGTTAGCTGTAAGACACGCTCAATATCGCTTCTTCGTACGTAGTTTTCGTAAACTTGGGGTATTAACCTTACACACCTAATTCTGCACGTCACAGTAGAATTTTAATATGTGTATTACATTGCTGTTTTCTGATATTTCACTATAAAATATTATTATTTCTTTATATTATGATATAATATCATAGATTACATGATTTATAATGAAAAAATATAATAGAAAACTAAATTTGAAATTATGTGAAAACCAATGGAAATTTTCCATTGGTTATCAGTTCAGAATTAATTGTTGTTACTAAACTAATCCTTACACCCTATATATTCTGTTTTGAATAGTACAGCATAAGTTTTACAGTTAGTAAAGATGACCGTCTGTTCTCAAAGAGAAAATAAAAAAAATTTATATAATATGTAGGTATAATTTACATACATACATTTATTTAGATACATGTTATGTCCATGGTACTGCTCATGTCTATAGGCGACGGTTACCACTTTCCATCTGGTGGGCCGTAAGCTTATTTGCTATTCTAAGTTGCATAAAAAGCACACATTAGATTTTGAATTACTTACCTTTATTCCCATTTACCTATTCATAGAATCTTTGCCTGTACCTGCGTCCTTTTAATACCTACACTAAACCACAAATTGCTCCAAATTTTAGCAAAAGCGAGTGGGTGCGATGTCTAATTTTGCTAGCAGTGTACAAAGGTTCTATCATATGTCCTTTGTCCCATATCGTCTTTTATAATTTACACATAATATATTTTGTATTGGACTGTGTTGTTAAGGGCAGTTTGTCTTTATATCTGAATAAATTATGGTACCTGCCAATATTCTTGCTACATTGTTTTTCATTACACGTGTATGTTCATAATCAAATTTCATTCTTTAATAGAAATATTTTTATAATATTACCAAAGGCTTTTTTCAAAACTTATAGGTCAAATATCAAAAACATCTGTTAAAATACAGGTGAAGCAATAATTATAGGAAATGTTATATAACTTTTTTTTTTCATTTCACACTCCATTGAGGAAATACGAGTAAACTGACGGCGCACTGATGGAAAAAGGTAAAACGTAATGAACATCATTGAATAGGTATGATTTTCTATATTTATAAAATAAAATTTATTTTCTATAGTACTATAAGTAAATTATTTTATAATTCGGGATAGAATCTGAAATGAGGATATCTTCAGAAGAACCAAAGTGATTGTCAATACCCGAAGAATAAAGTTAAAGTGGCAATGAACTGGTCACATAGTTCGAAGAACCGACAACAGATGAATCCCGTACGGGTACATGCAGTGTAGGACTACTCCCCACTAGATGGAGTGATGACCTTAAATGCATTGCAGGGAGTCAATGGCTACAAGTGGCTCGGAACCATTCTTTGTGGTAGACTATAGGGCAGACCTACGTTTTGCAATGGAGAGATAACGGCTGATATAATGATGATGATATATAGATATATTATTAGTATATATTATCAATTAGTACTTAAGTACATAAATATATACCAATATATCCGTAATACAAGGTCTACATAGTTTAGTACTAGAGAGCGCTGTAAGTTAGGTAGAGAGTTCGTTGTTTATTTAATGTATACTAAATATTTATTCATTTAATGTAGACTGTTAATACATTTTTATATGTATGCTACCACCTACAGCATCTTTCGCGTATCAACCATTCCTAAGGATTAATATTATGGATACAGGACACGTAAACTGGAAAATAGTGTCTTCTGCAAATTGTTTTACAGAAAAAGGTACAGAGATGCTCATAATTCTTTTTTGAGTTTGACAATATAAAGGTGATTTTAATTTTTAAAGCTGCCACTTTATAACGAAGTGGTGCTAAAACCAAACTATTCCCGCAGGTTCTTCGGCCAGGAGTGCCGCCTCCTTTTAGCATTTCTTTTATCAGCCTTGGATGTACGTGGAGTATTCTGTACATTCATTCCTCATAACATAATCGATGTATGACAATATGATGTGTAAGAGCGCCGTGATGATGCGCCAACCTGTAGGGAATAATATTATTTAAAGGAAGTGATCTTCTTCGTGGCTGTTTTCATGATTGTTTGTTCTTGGCGTATTTTACAACTTAACCAATTATCATAAAAATTTATATACATCTACTATTTGAAATATTTATTCCCATTTGTGTTCTTGATGTATCCATAAAGTCATAATAGTATATGTATTATTATCTTGAATGTGTATCAGTGCCATCTCCAGCTTTAAATTATCCGGCAGCTTTAATTTATTTTATATTTACACAGTATTTTTACTGTCTAAAATCCATATCGTACGGTTTACCAAACATCCACTTACTTTTAAAGTATATCTATGTACACGTACTAAATAGTAAAGAACTAGTAACATAATAAATATAGAGTTTCTATATTACATTATGAAATACATATATATGATATTATATGTGATTGTAAACAAACGAATTGTAAGCCCGTGTTCCTGTCAAAATCAAACATCAGACACGAATGATCCTGACGCTAATCGAACTTCCTCAACAAAAATACACGAAGATAAATCAATTTAGTTATGTTCAGCATTA